GAACTACTTTAGCCTATAAAGAACAACCAAGTTTCTTTTTTTAAACGTGTAGTTTAAGCTTTTTCCTCTTCTCCATTCAGGTACCTAATTAAATGGAGCCATTTAGTTGATTTGTGCTTATTTTCATCCAGAATTCAATTAAAATTCTTCTAACTGAACTACAGCCATCTGATTCTTAAACGAGGTCCAGGATAAGAAGTGACAATGAAAGTGGGAATAACAAGGAAAAAATATGTTCATTTCAGTCTTTGGGAGTTTTGTGAGTCAAGCTTAATCTCTGTGGTTTAGCAGGGCCAGGTTTTAAGGGGCATCACCCACAAGGAGAGGCTGTAGAGTACAGAGGTTAAAGAGTTCAGACTTCAGAGTTAGGCTATCTGGGTTTGAATCTTTTTTTCTTTTTATAATTGAAGTAGAGTTGATGTACAGTGTTGTGTTAGTTTCAGGTGTACAGCAAAGTGATTCAGTTATACATACATATATATCTTTTTTTTTTCAGATTCTTTTCTCATGTAGGTTATCACATAATATCGAGTGTAGTTCCCTGTGCTATACAGTAGGTCCTTGTTGGCTATCTATTTTGTGTATAATAGTGTATATATGTTAATCCCAAACTCCTAATTTATCCCTCCCCCACCTTTCCCCTTTGATAATCATAAATTTGTTTTCTGTGTCTGTGGGTCTGTTTCTGTTTTGTATATAAGTTCTGGGTTTGACTCTTAATTTCCTTTTCTTTTTCTTTTCCAGCTTTATGAATGTCAATTTTCCACTGTTTACTTGCTGTGTATTCTTGGGCAAGTTACTTTAGCCTTTTAAATTTCAGCTTCAACCCTAAAATGGGGGTTAATAGTAGTATCTGCTTCTTGGGGTTGTGAGGAGGCAGTCAGATGATCACATAGAGCCCGAAGTATAATGCCTGGCATGCATGCTTGCTCAGTAAACTTTAGCTCTTATGATCTTTACTTCATTAGTGTTGTTGTCAACATATATATTTGTTGTTCACCTTGATTTTTTAATATATAACAATATTGGCATTAGGTAACTTTGTTTTAAAAATCTGTTATGAGGGGGAGCGGGAGGGAAAAAAAATCTGTTATGATATTTTTGAGTTTATAAAAATTTAAATTGACATGGTAAAAATCACCATAAGTAAAGTCAAAAGACAGATGACAAATTGGGGGAAAATATATTTGCAGTTCATCACACAGAGTTCATTTCCCTAATACATAGAGAACTACTACTCAATTAAAAAAGTAGACCGTTGGAAACTGTTTATGGTGATGTGCTTCCACTTAACAGTGCTACGGATTTCCTGTCTTTAATATATATTCTCAGAGCATACCAGGCAAACCCTTGGTTGGAGAAGGGCTTGAGACACACAGCTAAAGACACAGAATGAGTGTGTAAACAGATCTGAATTTTTTTTGTTTTTCCCCATAAAATAGCTCCCACTCAGAAATGTTCTGTCGCTATCAGTGGTACCCTCACATATCCCTTTACCCTGTCATCCATGACTTTTCTCATCTTCTTTTTGTATCTCCTTCCTCTCATCCAGAAAATCACGGAGTCTGTTCTGTGTTTCATTCATAGTATTAACATCTGCTCCAATCTTTCCAGGCCCACTACTACTATTTTTAGTCAATAGACACTCAGTATCTCACAGTTTAACTGCTACCCTGGTCTCCTTTTCTTTCTTCCCTTGTTCCTTTCTCCAGTCAGCACAATCAATATGCCACACCCAGATTAATTTCCCTTGGTTTTCATCTTGGGCCACCAGCTTACTCAGAAGCCTTCAGTGGTTCCCCACCGTCTAGAGTGAAGTCTAACTTCTGAACCTGACCCTCAGGGCCCCCCTTAATCTGATTTTCCCTCCTTATGTCTTTAGCCTTAGTCTTTTCACTGCTTCTTTTTAGGAACCCTCCATTACATCTAACCTGGCCTACTTGACCCTCCATATACCCATTTCCGCCTTCATGCTGCCCTCCCTCCTCCTCTTCACTAAGTCTTAGACTTGCTACAAGGCCCAGCTCAGTTTCTGACTCTTCCAGATGGCTTTTCTAGATGCCCCAGCCCTCTACATCCATTGTTTTCTTACCTCCCGCTGCATTTATTAATTGCCTTTACCTCTCCTCCCACACTTAACCTTTGCCACCTATATTGTTTTAGGTAAACTTTAATTGAGTACATAATACAGTAACTTTTCACAAGGTGAACACACCCGTGTCATCAACATGCCTCTCTTCTGACACATACCCCATCCTCCCTAACCAGATGGCAGTTGCCTGGGAGACAACACCACATCATATGCCTCTTTACATGAAAATGCATAATATCAGGTGCTCAGTGACATTCTAGATCAGAAATTTGAGCTAAGACTAGGCTTTGGCAAATAAGAAACACATAGAAATTTAAAGGAATATGTGAAATTTCCATTACTAATAACTATAAATTCTTTCTTCACAAGTAGTTACAGTTGAGGTTACATTAGAGGTAATACCATTGGGTAAGTCTTGTTCAAGGATTCCTAGGTGGTGATCTATAAATGAGATTTTTATATCCATCTAAACAAGGCCATGTTATAGTTTTCTCTTTTCCTACACAAAGTACACAGACATCTCCAACATTCGATATTGTTGTCATTTTATCCAACAAATGCTTATTGATCATATGCATAGATACAGTTACAGCATATAGTGGGATTCAGCTTTGAAGAACATAGAAGATCTTTCTTCTGTAGAGCTTATATTTTAACGAGTCACCAGAAATAATTGGCAGAACTAAAAGAGAAGCTTAAGACTAAAGATAAAACAATGACTAAACAATAAAATAACTATGAAAAATTGTTACTAAATCATCATAAACATAGAGAGAGAACAAGAACATGGGGACAGGAAAGGCTAAAATGAAGCTTGGCCTTGCACTAGGGACTTTGGATAAGAAATCCATTTGATTATGATGTTAAAGGTACGGAAGAAGATGGCAGCCTATGAAGGTAGAATAAGGACCGGTTAAGAAGAGTAGAAAGATGTTGTAAACATCATAGGAACTATTTAGTTTTCAGGAGTGCTTTACAGTTTACAAGGAAGGTACTTCGACTTGTTCATCTTATTGAGTCTTTACCCATTATGATCTTGTACCATGGGTGGTGTTGTCTGTCCACAGCCACCCGGCTCCCACGTGCCTGTCGTAAGTTTAGACTGACTTCAGTCTTTCCACCTGCTGCTCTTGTCTTAGAGGAGCATGGGAATTTGTGTTCAGTCTTCTCTTAATTTGTGTAATTACTGCATTGAAATCACATCCCAGCTAACTTCATTATCACCATATTTATACTCTTTGCTTCAAACCTAAAGCATGAGAAATCTCCCTGGCAAATCATGCCGTCTGGAGGTTATAAGTATTTAAAAGGCAAAGTGAAGTCAGAGGTAAGTACTTTCCAGCTCCTAGCTGTGGTGTCTCCATCACTTGGAAGCATAGGTACAAAGAGAAGAACCATGGACTGCTAATCCCTAAAAACTAACTTGTTGAAAGTATTATGAGTTCCCTTTTGGTTTTGCCTTGTCTTTTATTGCCCCTTTGGTTATGTCTTCTTTGTACCTAGAAGGCTTCAGTTTGTAAAGCTGTAAATCTGTCAGTCTTGTTGGCATGGCTTTCACTTCAAATTAACGTTCAGCAAAGGGATTAGCCGATAAACATTTCGGGCTGTATTTCTTTACACAAAAGGGTGGATATGGTTTGAACAGGCTGCTGAAGCTAGGAAGAGAAGTTAATTGTGTAAATCAATGCAGGCAAGAGCTGATCACCTTTCTGAAAGACAAGACAATGCGGCACACAACCTCTAAATAGATCTTTGGGGTCAAGTTGATGTCATGTTGAAGAATCAGTATTTACTGGGCTTTATAAAGTTAGACTTTAAATGAACCCCGGGCATTTCGCTAGGCCATTAATTGCAGGAAGAGGAAAGGTGACAGTGGCTGAAGTCCATGGCTATAGAGATACTATAAAAATAAGTGAAGAGACAAGACAGTCACTTGCTAATGTGCAAAGGTCTCAGCTTTAGGTTCTACTCAAGCATTGTTGGTTCACGTACTGAAAGGCTTTCTCAGGATTGTGCTGACATTTTAAGAAAGAGCAACTCTTCCATCCTAACAGAAGAAGGTCAGCCCTTTACTCTTTGACACTCATTATCTAAGCAGTGTGGCTTAATTTTCCTCGAATGAATTCTGATGTCATTTCGCATTCTGCCTTGTAAATGTGCTGATCACAAAAGCAGGTTCTTTCTCAGAGTGTCGCTCATCCCTCCCTCTGACAAAGTTGAAAGCTTTTTAAATAAAGAATTGTAGTAAAGAGCATTTACTTTAGGACGCTGGCTTGAATCCAAAGTCTAATGAAAGGCTTTTGATAAATATTATCATTTGTATTTGTTATATCATTCAATAGAAGTGTTCCTCTGGCTGTTTTGTGTGCGAAAGTGTTCTGTACTCCTCGCTGGGTTATCAGAATTATTTGTAGGGCAGGAACCTTATCTTCTGTTTATTTTAGTCAGTGTTTCTAATCAATGTTGTTGACGAGGTGGGGGAATATATTATATCAAATTTTATCCTGTCTGTAACAAAACTAACATCCTGCATGGTCAGTGACAGAAAGTCATAGAAGCAGCTTTGTTAGGCCCTATGGATCAGGGTATGGCCCTAGGATGTTTGTTACAAGTTCCTGGTCATATCTGCTCAATAGGTACATTTTGGAGTTGACTTCTCAGACCTCTTTCTCTAGTGCATTTTGTCAGAGGAGGCTTTTCAATTAATCAGCGAAGAGCTGCTGTTCTTTTCTCACTCCCGCTCCTATCCCTCCTCTCCAGGATCATTTTTCAGAATAAATACTGAAAAGAAAGCACAGGAAGTTTGTCGGGATTGTTGTGGTGTTTTTACAAGAGAATCTGATGTTTAATGTTTTCATCCATGATTTTCTTTGGATATTCACTCTGAGTTTTTATTCTTCCTTTTCAGCTATTTGAGAACTTCTGCTTTGGTACCCTAAAGCTCAATTCAATTCACATCTCTCAGAGGTTCACAGTAGACAGCTTTGGAAACTATGCCTCTTGTGGACAAATTGACTTCTCCTGAGGTGGATCTTGGGAAACACTGGAAACTAAACATCCTCACAAGGTGCTGAGGGAAAGTATCATCATTTTAATTGCCAAGGAGGGATGTGGAAATTTGGGTGATAACTTTCCTGGGTGATTCCCCAAGGATACCATGGTGTCTAATGGTGGTCCACAGTCATCGCACTGTCAGCGAGATGGTTGTGAGCACAGGGAGAACATACGCCTGTAACCCTTAGCTTGTTCATCTTTCACAGGGTCTACCTCTCTTTCCAAAGCTCTTCTCTGAAAATGTACCTCTGAAGCCCTGTGGAGCTCAGATTTGCATTATTTCTTATATACCTACTGATTTTGCCTCAACCATTTAAACTTATATTAATACTTTAAAAGAGAATTACAGGTGTGTGATCTTATTAATCTCTCCACCTAGATAATATCTACAGATTGTAGAAGGTTTGTATTTTTTCCCTCCCCCTTTTAATCAATACCCAGAATTTGTTTTTTATTGTGGTAAAAAACACATAACCTAAAATTTACCGTCTTAAGCCATTTTCAAATATACAGTTTGGTAGTGTTAGGTATATTCATATTGTTGTGAACTATCTCTAGAACTTCTTTGTCTTGCAAATCTGAAACTCTGTACCCATTTAAGCAACTCTTCTTGCCCCCCACCCCCGCAGGCCCCTGGCAACCACCATTCTACTTTCTCTTTCTGTGGATTTGACTACTTGAGATACCTCATATAAGTGGAATCATACAGTATTTGTCTTTTTGTGACTGGCTTATTCTACTTAGCATAATGTCCTCAAGGTTCATCCATTTTGTAGCATGTGTCAGGACTTCCTTCCTTGTTAAGGCTGAGTAATATTCCATCCGATGTATATACACTCATCCCTCGGTTTCCCTTGGTTTCAGTACCTCCCTTGGTATCTGTGGATTCTCAAGTCCCTTATATAAAATGGCATAATATTTGCATATAACCTATGCATACCCTCCTGTATACTTTAAATCATCTCTAAGTTATTTATAATACCAAACACAATGTAAATGCCATGTAAATATTTGCCGGCACACAGTAAATTCAAGTTTTCCTTTCTGTAACTTTCTGTAATTTTTTTTCTCAATATTTTTGGTCTGCAGTTGGTTGACTCCACGGATGTGGAACCCATGGATATGGAGGGTCGACTGAACCACATTTTGTTCATCCAGTCTTCCATCGATGGACACTTGGGTTCCTTCCACTTCTTGGCTGTTGTGAATAATGCCCTATGAACATGGGTGTACAAATATCTGAGACCCTGCTTTCAATTCCTTTACTACTTAGAATTTAAACTTTAGCAAAATAACTGGTAAAGTTTTTACCTTTTACTTTGATCTGTCCTTTTTCTTTTGAAGTTGGTACCTTTTATATTTCTTAGATTCCTGTTCCTTCACCCTACCCTAACCCTTGCCTTCCCATGCCACTGATGGAGCTGCAGTATTGTAGCTCTTTTCTGTTTACTTCTCAGGGCAGCAGCAATCAAAGCAATGGTGATACCATCAGGACTATGCAGAGTTCCCTGGGAGAGTGTCAGCCACAGAAGGCACTCACTCCTTCCTTGCTGCAGACCAGCAAAGGGAGGGAGCTCCCAGCGCAGGTTTGCCCCACCCATCAGTCCTGCCACACTCTCTGCTGGGGAGCTCCAGCCTCACTGTTGTTACCTCTCATCTCTACCCCCTCACAGCCTTTCTCCCTCCATGGCCTCTCTTTTTCCTTCATTCCTTAGTCTTAATCTTGATTCTTACTTTCTATTTGAGAAGTATGATTCTGAATCCCGTGTGTTAATAAGGCCACGACATGGTAAGGGCTGTGTATAACACTCAGAGATCTATCAATGTGACTGCACAGATCATTTGTGAATAAATGAATTTCTAAAGTAACTGTGTATTTCTTTTAGTATTATTATATAGTTTCAGTTTGACCCCCTTAGTCAGTGTGTGTTGGGATACATTGCTGCCATCACTTATTCAATAGCATAGCATATTTACATATCGGTGTTACGTATTGGTGCCTGCTTTTCCCCACCCCCCCACACAAAAAAAGGGTTGCTTTTTCCCAAAAAAGCTTTCTACTGGTAATATTCATTTTTTTATTTAAGTTGAGCTTTTACCTCACTCACCTCTGATTGTTAAATGACATATGGGAATGAGCGCTCCCAGAGGTAGTACTGAATAGCAGAGTTGACTGAAATTCAGTGCCCTCACCTCTTCTTGGTCCTGCTTCTGCCTTACTGATTTCTTTCTGACAGCTGCCGTTGGGCAGTAAGTAAAGAGGTCTTCTTTTGAGTATCAGAGGTATGACTTAACGTTTTTAGGAAAAAATTTTTGTCTTTGGAAAATGTAACTTTATATATCAAATGCTAAATTCTTAACAGAATTAGAAATTCTATTATTTAGTATTTAGAGGTAACTATGCATTTAAGGACTTATCATACTGTAATTTTTCACAAGTAATTTTTCACAAGTTTTTTGTCTTTTTCACTCTCATTCTCTCATACTTGTAAAGTGGAGTTTTCCAGCAGCTATGTGATATGGTGACATCATCACTCTAATGGTTAATAGAGTGTGTGCTTATGTATTTTTGTTTGTTTTGTAAGTTTGTAGGTATTGGTAGAATTGGAAAAAAATTTTATGTTTTAAGTTTTCTTTCTAGAAGCCAATAGACAAATTTTTGAGACAATGTAGCTCTAAAGAAAGTACACTTTAAACTACTGTTGTAGAAGGGGGAGTAGCAGGTAGTTTTGATGTAGAACTTTTAGAGAAGAGCAACAGTGTTAGAGAGCAAATAATTTTTGATGGAGCTAAAAGAATTTTTCAAGATTTCAGGTCCCCTTTCACCAAACTGTAATGGGGTCAAGGATGGAGGATTTACTTCTGTGCTTATAATCCAATCTCCCTTAGTATTACCACTTTGCAGTTCATTCTGCACTGAAATAGAGTTAAATTGCACCTAACATCACTCCAGTTGGTTTTTGAGACACTAAATTCACCCTCAACTCCTCTAAGAGGAGAAGGGGAAAAAAAATCTCTCAACATGATTATTACACAAGATATGTGTTATTATATAAGGAACTTTGTTATGGAGAATAATATTGGTGTTTTTTTGAAGGGGCACAATGAGTTACCCCCAAATGAACTCTATATCCTTGGTAGAAACATGACAAATGTTTCTTATAATGGTTATTTACTTATTTTTGGCTGCGTTGGGTCTTCATTGCTGCACGTGCGATTTTCTCTAGTTGCGGTGAGTGGGAGCTACTCTTTGTTGCAGTGCACGGGCTTCTCATTGCGGTGGCTTCTCTTTGTTGCGGAGCACGGGCTCTAGGCGTGCAGGCTTCAGTAGTTGCAGCACGCGACTCAGTAGTTGTGGCATACGGGCCCCAGAGCATGTGGGCTTCAGTAGTTGCAATGCGTTGGCTCAGTAGTTGCGGTGCGCAGGCTTCAGTAGTTGTGGGGTGTGGGCTCAGTAGTTGCGGCTCGTGGGCTCTAGAATGCAGGCTCAGTAGTTGTGGTGCATGTGCTTAGTTGCCCAATGTCATGTGCGATCTTCCCGGACCAGGGTTTGAACCTGTGTCCTCTGCATTGGCGGATTCTTAACCACTGGACCACCAGGGAAGTCCTATAATGGTTATTTTTTAAGTGAACTTCAGAGTTTACTAAATTGGACACGGATGAGAATCCACCTTCATAATGACACAAAGCTTGGTTCAGGTTTGCTCTTGCACTGTGCGCTTTTCCTTGTGCCAAAGAGAACCTGATGGTACCAGAGGGGTATTGAGTTAAGGAACACCTCTCAGATTCTGTCTTGATGCTTACAGGGAGATGGATAGCAAAACCCAAGCATGCTATAGGTGAGAAAAGGGGCTGCTGTTGTGGTTGTTTATCAATAACTTTTTTGTTGTTATTAATAAAATGATCTCTCAAACAAAGGTAAAATAAGATTACTGTGTGAAAAATCATCAAGCTATCTACTTTGTCTTATGCTTTTTCCACTGTTATGCTTCAATTTAAATATTTGTTTAAAAAATAAATTTCCTCATCCAGAGGTTACTACTTCCTATGCATTTAAGCACATGAATCATGTTGCTAAGTAATTTTTCACAAATGATAACAGCTAATATTAGCAGAATGCTCACATTTGTCATTTATTTGTGAATAATGTGTATTTATTCATTAAATCTTTACAAGCCCACTTAAGTTGGTGTTATCATTAACCTCATTTTAGAAACTGAGGCTTAACAAGGTTAAGAAATTTGCCTGAGGTCATAGTGCTTGTATCTGTGGTTCTTAAAATGTGGTCTTTGTACCCCTCAGAGTCCCTGAGATCCTTTGGAGGGGTGGGAATGTCCTACTATTTTCATAAAAATATTAAGGCATAATTAGCCTTTTTCACTCTGATTCTCTCCTGAGTGTACAGTGGAGTTTTCCAAAGGCTATATGATATGGTAACATCATCACACTGATGGTTAATAGAATATATGTTTGTATATTTTTGTGTTTTGTAGAATTTTGTAAGTTGGTAGGCTTAGGTTATAGATGCATGTTTTTAGAGAGAAACTCAGTTTGCTCTCAGTACTTCTGCTGTGCTTTTACTAGCTACTTCCCATTATAGCTACTATTATGGGCTGAATTGTGTCCCCTGAGAATTCATATGTTGAAGCAGTCACCCCCTAGTACCTCAGAATGTGACTGTTTGGAGATAAGGCCTTTAAAGAGGTGATTAAGTTAAAATGAGGCTGAGGCTGTTAGGGTGGGCCCTAAGCCACTCTGACTGATGGCCTTATAACTAGAGGAAATTTGGACACACAAAGAAACATCGGACCCCTGACTACCGAGATCATCTCCCTGGGTCTGTCTCCAAAAAAGTTTGGTTGATGATATTGCCTAGTAACTGGTGATTGGAAGGGTCCGAGAATGTCAGTGAAACTGACCAATTCAGAACAGGCAGGGCCAGACTGAGGAAGTTCCTTCTGCCTCTGCCCTGATCATCAAAGCCTTCAAGGAATGGCCAAGAGACAGAAAGAAGCAGAACATTAAGCACAGTGGACATACAATTTTTGATGAGATTGCCAACATTGCCCAACAGTTGTGGCACTTATTTTTAGCTCAAGAACTGTCTGGAACCATTAAAGAGATCCCAGGGACTGCCCAGTTGGTGGACTGCAATGTTGATGGCTGCCACCCTCATGACATCATGGATGACATCAACAGTGGTGCAGTGGAATGCCCAGCTAGTTAAGGACAGCAAAGGAAAATATTTCAATAAAGGATCATTTGACAACCAAAAAAGAAAGAAAGAAAAACATCAGATATGTGCATGCACAGAGGAAAGACGATGTATGACAGCAAGAAGGCAGCCATCTGCAAGCCAGGAAGAGACAGGAGAAACCAAGTCTACCAACACCTTTTTTTTTCTTTTTTTTTTGGCCGTGCTTTGCTGCTTGTGGGATCTTAGTTTCCCGACCAGGGATTGAACCCAGGCCCTCGGCAGTGAAAGCAGGGAGTCTTAACCACTGAACACCAGGGAATTCCCAAGTCTGCCAACACTTTAATCTTGGACTTCTAGCCTCCAGAATTTATTGAGAAAATAAATGCTGTTGTTTAAGCCACCTAGTCTGTGGTATTTTGTTATGGCAGCCCTAACAAACTAATACACTTGCTATAATGCAGAAGGTAATCTACCTTTCTTCTTTTGAGCCAGACATTAAAGAGATTTGCCAAAGTGTAAAACAGTAACAATACGACTACTCTTATTAATTTGGTGTGTGCGGGGGGTGGGGAATATAATTTTTTTCATAAAATATGTTATTTTGTTAATATGGGTTTGGTATTGTTATTTTTAAATACACTTTTTGAATTAAGTTTTTTTTGAAAGATTTTTTAGAGCAGTTTTAGGTTCACAGAAAAATTGAGAGGCAGGCTTAGTTTTATTTTCAAGTACAGTATATCAGTGTCTATACTGTATATCTCACATAAACAAAAACAAAAGTTCTTTGGGGTCCTCAGTAATCTTTCAGTGTACAGGACTCCTGAGACCAGAAAGTTTGAGAACTGCTGCACTATACTGTCACTTCCTTCCAAATGGGATCAAGTGATACATGGTTTTCTATAATGAGCTTGTCTTACCCAGTAATATGTAGTGGATCACATTAGTTGTCAGTAGATACAGATCTACATTATTTTTAATGTCTGTACCATAGCCTGTTGTATGTATTATAATTTAACTAGTTGATCCCTAACTAATGGACCTTGATTTGGTTTCCAGGTTTGGCTATTATAAATAATTCTGGATTGAACATCTTTGTATGTTTGTCTTTTTATGTTTGTGAGGTCATCTAGAAATGAGATTAAATGGTTTTAAAGATGTGGTTAAATTTAAGTTTCTTATTTGGAAACTGAGGTTCCTTCCTCCATTTTGTATTGCTAAATATTAAATACAAACAGAAGAAAAGCATGAAACATATGTACCATTTATCAGATGCACCCAGCAGCTTTGGGGCCCCTTTCAAGGCTGACCTGCCAGTAAGTCCCTCAAAATTTAGGAAAACCTTTTCTTCTTTATAAACAATAGTTATTGTCCATTTTCTACAGCTCTTTTCTCCCTCATCTGGAAATTTGGATTTTCCCTCCTAAATAGCTTTACTATTGGATTAACTAACAGTCCTGGACTGTTATTGATTTGCTTTAAGCCCAGGACTAATATTGACCCAGCTTGAAGGTGCTACAGAAGGCAGGT